GAACTCGGCTGCCGGCACGTCGCCTTCGGGAGATGGACGCGAGGCGCTCGCGTCCTCGTCGACACCATCGTGTCTTCCGCCGTTAGTGCTGTCCTCGCCCCGTGTTGCTGCTGAGTTGCCGCTGTGAGGCGCTGCCTCGTCATCTATCACCATAGGCGCATCAGTATCACTCCACGTCAAGCCTAGCGAGGTCGTGGGTGCACCACTTTCATCCGAGACTGCACTCGACGCTGCTGTGGCTAACGAGGTGGTCACCGGGGCGCCACTATCGCCCGTCTCGCAAGGCGGCAACGAAGCCGAGCTCGGAAGGCTGGCAGCAGCACGTGCAGCAGCACTTGCAGCTGCATCCATGCTACTGGCGGTGCCCAGCCTCGTAGATCCCTTGGGGTTAACCACTACGGGTCCGCTGCTAAGTGCTGCNTCTACGGGTCCGCTGCTAAGCGCTGCTTCGTATGCATATTAGCCTTTGGGAAGAGGGAAGAGCTGTACTTGCTATATGCTAACCCTTTTTTGAAATTGATATCTGGTTCTGTAAGTAGGTTCTGCAGGCGTTTTTCGTGTTGGCACGGAATTCGTTCCTGCCAATGTTGGCAGATTCCCGGGCGCCGCTTTCCCGGGCGCCGGACTTTGCCGGCAAGGGGGCTCACGGAGAGCACTCAGGGATGCACTGCCCCAAACCTGGATTTTGGCAAAATTGAGCTGAGGTGGGGGGGGGGGGCGGGGGGTACAATACGTAATCTGCTTACAGTAGAAGGGTTAGAACAGGCAGCGCGTAGAGACGAGCAAGAGAGCAGAAAGCAGCAGAATCCACCCCCACGGTGACGTGCGGGTTCTGCGGGCGCAGTGACGGCATGTGCGAGAGCTTCCTGAAACAAGGGTCGAAGAAGGGAGTAGAGATCTGCACATCTACGTGCCCCGATGCCCCCCGCGAAGGTGCACTCCAGACTTGGGACGTTGCGCTCTCAATGGGCCACGCGCGGAAGGAGTCCGCGTATAAACTATGCCTTAATCTGCCGATGGCGTGCCAAATATGCCCGGGCAAAAAATACGTCTGGAAGTACAACATGGCTGCCCACATCAAGTCAGTACACAGCGAGGTCGATGGTGGCGGTAGTCCCAAATTTCGATCGGAGATAGCTATTTCCGACGCAGAGCGCAGAAAAGTCTTGGACCTCATTGGTGTCACACCAACATCATCATCGGGGAGTAATAAGAGGGCAACCACGTGCGACACCAGGACACAGAGGGAGGTTCGCCAGCGACAGTCGGGCGTTGGTGCCAGCAGCGGCGGCAGTAGCCTAGCAACAGGAACGATGGGCGAAACTCGGGTGTAGGGGGTTTGCACTTTCCAAGCCATCACATGTCGTGGTGTTGTTTTCGTGTCGTTGTTCTCAGCAAGCCTATGTACTACTTCTGTAGGTGGCAGCCTGGGGTACTTGCATTTTTTAGTTCGACCCGCTTCTATACTAACGTACGTCAGGATACACGGTGCGGCGAACACCTTCAACAGGGGGTGCGTCGTGTAGCTGCACTTCCTGAACCAAAAAACGTGCTAATAATTGATTACCTCTAGCTTTGGGCACTTGCTGCTGCCGTTAGCTATGTAGGTATCACCGAAATGAAATTGCCCAGAATCCCAACACAGGAGTAGTAGTAGTAGTAGTAGT